AAATAAGATACTGTGATATAAGGTTATAATGTAAAACTAGTTTCTAATGACAAAGAAAAACCTTCTGGTAATAATATAGTTTGACAAATTTAGAGATAATATTGTTACTATTCTATAGCAAGTTAAGATTAATTGATCATAAGCATCAAGTATTAAATACATACTTTTTAAATGTGTTGGGTATATTATTCTTTTAGTTTACTATAAAACACATTAGAAACTAGAGTATTGTGCTGAAATACAAAAATACATTATTTGTTTAATTTGCACTTAACTGATATCACAGAAAATAGCTTTCAGTGGTTTTATACTTTCATACTACTTAAAGAATTTTTTTCATACCAACTCAAATGTTAACAAAATAAACTCCTATTTTAGAATATAATAAAAGTCATTTATATGAGAAAAATATTGTTTATGCTTAATTTATCTGATTGACAAAGATGAAAATAACAAAGCCCAGTACAGGACCATGGAAATATAATATGTTCCTAGCTAAATCAGTACAGAATTTTAAGTTGTTAAACAATAGTTACCAGAGGGCCGGGAATTTAGCTCAGTGGTTCCGTCGCTTGCCTTGCAAGCGCAAGGACCCGAGTTCAATCCCTGGTACCAAAAAAATAAAAAATAAACAATAAACAATAGTTACCAGAGATTTAGATATCTAATTGGAAATCTGCAATATTCCAAAATCTAAAACTTTTTCAGTGTTGACATTCTGCTACAAGTAGAAAATTTCAGTTAATGGGTTGCACGCAAAATGCAGGTTCACTAAACATATGATGTAAAATTAGCTTCACATTCTGTGATAACCTGTGTATGAAACACAGGCTTGGGTTCCATTCCAAAGATAGATATAGATATAAATGGAGATGGAGATATAGATATAGATATAGATGATATAGATATATTATATATAATCTAAAGTCAAACATAAATGTAAAATTTGAAATACTTCAGGTACCAAACATTATGGATAAAGATTACTCATCTTGAATACCTTAGAATACAAGACATCAAGATGATTTCAAATCCAAGTAACAGGAAACCTAACTGAAACTGGGATAAATTATATTGGCTCTAAATATATATTGGCATAGACTGAATAGTTCCTCCTTTCAAATTCATATATTGAAGTAATCCTTAATGTGACTATATTTGAAGATAATTGCCTTCAGGAAGTAATTAAGTTTAAATGAAATCAATACAGGTAGGGCCTTAATGTGATAGGATCGGGGTCCTTATATAAAGAGACACTGGAGAGCTTTCATACTCTCCTTTGCCTTCCACATCCCTAGAGAAAATACCATGTGAGCACACAGTAAGGAAGTAGCTATTTTCAAGCCAAGAAGAGATGTTTTTTTCTCCAAAGCTCAATAATTTTGTCAGCCTCCAAAATGGCAAAATAAATTTCTGTTGTCTAACCCATGCTATCTGTAATATTTTTTATGGCAAACTAAGACACTCTCCAAAGTTGCAAGAAAGAATAAGATTTGATTTTATCAGGGCCCTAGCTACATTTCTCTCTAATTCTCTGGACTACACACTCTACGGTGCATCAGCTTTAGTTTCACACTTGTTCCTCATAGAAATGTAAATGAGTGCTGCAGTCTCAGGCTTTATATCACACACTATTACACATGACCACTCGTCATCAATCACTGAAGATGCACTAAATGGCTTTAGCCCATCCACAAAGCTGGTGAAAGTGTAATTCCACTCAAACTGAAAGGTTGCTGCACAGCCATGTGGAAGAAGATATCAAACAGCAAATAACTATATATTTTGTATACGTTTAAAATCAATTTCAGTGGTACACAAAAAATTTGTATTCAAACAGTTATTTCCTGAAACTGGAACCCTCCATATAGTTAGTTAATTGAATTTGATAGTAGAGCAAAGGCATTTCAAAGGAGAAAGATCAGTATTTTTAACAAATCACGCTATAACAATTGATTATCTACTTGCAAAACAATGAATCTTGAGCTATGCCTAAATCATAAACAAAAACTAACTGAAATGGATCATACACTTAAATGTACAACATAAAAAATATAAAACTTGAGCAGAGGATGTAAGTTAGTGATAGAGCTTACCTAGTATGCACAAGGCCCAGGGTTTGATCCCCAGCACAAGGAAGAAAAAAACAAAGAAAATGAAAATAAAGATATATAAATTTATATTGTGGATGTCAGTCTTAATTTTCAACTTGACTGGATTACAAAACTCCTAGAGAGATGGATCATGGGAGTGCTGTATGTGTCAATCTACTGCAGCTCTCAGCCTCATGTGCTGTCAGGAGGTGGGGCAGAGTGGGAGGAGGTGTGTCACTTTACAGGGTATATACCTCTAGCTAGCTCTCTTCCTCTGTGCCTTGCTTTGTGGCTGCCATCAGAGAGCAACTTTTCTCCAACACACCTTGCTGTCATGAAGTTTCTGACAACCATAGACTGAAATCTTTCAAATGATGAACTAAAAGAAGCCTTTTCTCCTTTAAGTGGAAGGTGACAGGTATTCTGTCCCAATAATCAGAAGGTTGGCCAACACACAAACACACACACACACACACACACACACACACACATGTTTAAGGAAATCTATGTAACTTTGAATTAGGCAGAATACTTAGATCTAACTGTAAAATCATAATTATAAAAAGTACATAAG